GGTATTTTATTGCATTGGTTATAGTGAAAACAAAGTCAAAGGAATAAGATAGGTGATCTTGTTTTGAATGATTGTCTAGTCACATTTTATTGAGCTGGATATTTTCTTCCAAGTTAATGAAGATGATATAATGGAACATTCATGTCATTAAGCGGCGGATAAAACAAGTAATATTATAGGTCTCCCCATTGTTATATTTCAAAGTATTTGTATTTCATTTGAACAATTTATATTAAGATTTGACGTCGCTTTTACTGAATTATAATATGGTTTTACCTCGAATTGTAAATGGTTTACCCGAATTGTATAAAATTTTTTATGGTGCATACCCTATGCAAAAATCCTAGGTCCCACGACTCCGGCACAGACGTAGGGACAAGGTGGTCGAGACGTTGCGTAATGATGCGATGCTCATCAAGACCATCATCCTGGACCTTACACATTCTATATCGAGATGAAGACGATGGTAACGCTGACGCACAAGAATGGGATCCTCATGATGATGGATTACTACACTCTCAGGATTGAAGATACTAGGATCAATTCGTTTCACAATAATAGGATTCCATACTTATAGATAGACCCTGTCTTCAGAGGGAGTGGCATACCATTTGAAGAGCTATAAACTTCAGGATTTGGGTAACATGTACCCAAAAGTCGACATACTTTATCCTGGCGGTGTTACTTGGATGAAAAACGCTTCCATGTACATACCTTGTGGATTGGAGCGGCGTATGAAGAAATTTCCCAGATGCTCATGTTTCCTATGTATGAGGAAAAGAAAAGGGGAACGAAAACTATGAGAACGTAATGTAATAGTATTAAAAAACTCAGTGAGGACTGTACCCATAGGGCGACACATGTTCATATGCATGCACACTCACCCAGTGCGTTTTTTTTTTTGTACATAGACCTTCTCTACATGTACGTGCATCATGTACAGCTAGTAAATATTAAATTTCAGCATTTTCTGACATTTCAGGTCCTACCGTCTCTACACCACAGCATCATACGAAGCAACATTTTACATTTGTTTTTTTTAAATCATTTTGTTTATTTATATATGATATGTACGTATGTACTAGTAGCATATGCGTGTGCTTCTTCAGACAGCTTTTCATTTAGCCGGGCGCGCGCGCACTGCTGTAGTACCGTACGCCACGCCGTGTCCTTTGCATGACCAAACTAACTAGGGCGCGTGAAGTTAAATCACACGACTGGGCGGGGCGGGGCGAGTGTTCGTGCCGTCGTCGTCTCCCGGCCCGGACTGCTCCAGCCGGCAGATCGAGGGCAACGCCGCTCGCCATAGATTTTCGCTACAGCCGGTGAGCACCACTGTTCATGTTCCAAACATTAAACGAAGAACGTGCTACCTAACGACACATCTTTCTGCAGGGTTGCAGCACATATATATATATATATATACTTACTAGGAGATCGAGTATTGCCATCAACGTGCGAGCTCCCTGCCGCCGTGCTGTGCATCTTTATATCAGGTGAGCACATCCTCTGAAGGATTCGTGGCCTCTGCATATCCTTCCATGCATTTGAGGTTGAGGAGCTCTAGTTTATGTTCACTATGTTTATGGGCGTCTTTTTCTGCAGTTGTTCATCGATCTTTCCTCCATGGCCAGTTCAGCATACGTCAGCCTCTTGCTGCTGCTGGTAGTGGCACCCTCAGCTCTCTGGCATCCAGGTGTCAGAACCGGGAGAGATAAGGTAAGTACTGCTATGCATCATGCTCTCTGGCTCCCCCCTTTTTTTTTTAGGCTTCGCCTTCTTAACAAGCCCTGTCAAATGGGATAAAAAAATGACTTCACTCCTAAAGCTGTCATTTATTTGGTTGTTTATTGATGGGATATACTGTTTGAACTCATGATTTGTATTTTACTTCAAGTACACACACTAGGACCCTCAATTTAAGGACCTTCAATTTAAGAACAATATTTGTCAATTACTCTGCGTTCTTTTTTACAAGGCATAGTTTAGTATGTCACGGTCTCTGAAATTATACTTTGATCATTTATTTACATTATATTACATTATTTATATTTACAAAGTTGTGGTAGTTAGATAATATATTTAACGACAAATTAATCTAGATCCAAATTTATATTATAATAACTATAAAGTGTTAGTCAAATTATTGGTAAAAGATTATAAAGTTTGAATCTTGATACATGTACGTTTTATATATATAAAAAGAGAATGGAAGGAGTAGTATACAAGAGAGTTCACGTTAATCTACACTAATAATAAAAAGCAAAATTTCCGCCTCGTTCTTGGTTTGGACCGTTTTTCGTCTGGCCCATTCATCGTCGCCCAACTACCGGCCCACTCGCTCGCCCCAGTCCACTCCACCCATCCGGTCAATTTTTTCAGCCCAATCCACTCCATCAGGTCAATTTTTTGTAGCGCTAATCGTTAGCTGGGCCTGGCTGGGCGCGACGTCGTACGGGAAAAAAGGAAATCGGCCGCGACAGGAAAAACGAGCCAAAATTCCAGCCACGCGAGGATTCGGACCCTGACCTCCACCATGCAGATAACAGTTGCTAACCGCCAGCCAATGTAAACTCATGTGATAGCAAACGAATCGTTTTCTATTTAGCCTCTAATACCTTCAAACCTTTATAGTGAATCTCTTTTTGCATTTTCCTTTCCGATTCCGTTTTTCACTTGGTTCTGTCTTTTCTTTTGTCTGTTTTTGCTTCTACTTTTTTTTTTTCGGACCCTTCATTTTATCTTATTTTCGTGTTTTTCCTTCTTTTCTCCCCAAAGTTTCCGTCTACTCTGAGTTTTCTTTCCATAGTTTTGTTTTTTTCCCAAGTGTACCTCTCTGTTTTTGTTTCTTACTTATGCTTTTTATCTCTAATACTAAACCACTTGGTCGTATTCTTTCAATAAATATTTTTCACCACTAATTTGTTTCATCCATTATATCCTTTGCTCGAAAGATACGCTTTCTATTCTGCTTCCTAATCAATGTGTTTGTCACCCGTTTTGTCTTCGTGTTGGACGAGGTAGCTTTGTTCTACTCCCTTTCCTAGATCCAAACTCGTTACACCTCTAGAGTCTCATTAGCACGTGCGTTATGGATTGTCATAGACCTATGGCCCTATAAGAATCGGAGCCCTTGAGAGGGCGTAGGAGATGAATAACAATGAGGCAAGGTAAAAGACACATCAATCATACTTGAAATTTTGAGGACTTCTCTTGTTGGGAAGACCCGACGGGGGAGCAATCGATTGACCCTCACGTGATACATCTACTCCTTGCCAGGTTGACCTGCACCAACCGTTGCGTCGTCGCGGGCACTAATGGCACAAGTAGATCTCCCATGCACGCCACACTTCTAGATCGTTGAGGGCACCTTAAGGGTTGCACACTCTCTCTCAATCGCGATCGTCGGGCCACACCTATGCCCTCGCAAGGAGCCTCATCCGCTCGATCACCACTAGAGTCACGCCCAAAGGGAGTCTACAAGTGGAGTAGTGAATTTGATCTCTAGTTTCAAGCTTAAAACCTAGGGCTAAAATTAAACTACCACTAGAAAAATCATAAACTACTCTATCTAGAACTGCACTTAAGGTTTTTCTAGCATGCTCTAACTTGCTCACAACCAAAAAAGTGTTTTGTGACCTAGAGCCTATCCTATGAGCTAGTCTATAACTTGTTTTGCAAGGTAAATGTCACACCTAGTAAACCACAAGAGAAAGCTATAAAGAGCTCAAGTTTGAGAGGGCAAACTCTTGGAGACACAATGATATATCCCATGATATTGATTGCTAAATTACAAGCCCTACTCCACATTGGGGGTCCAAATGAGGTACGCCTCCTGGTCACCTATTCGATCGTGGTGTTTGGTCAACTAAAGACAATGGAGTCACAAAGTTTCCTATGCCACTCAATCACTACTATGATGTTGGACTATCTGCACAAAGCCACGCCAACCAAAGACAATGTTGTGAGTTACCAAGTCTCACTGTTGCCACTAGTGTCACTCAATTTGATCACAACATCAAATACAAACCACAGGCGGGTGTGAGTCACATAGTCTCACCACTTGTAGCCGATTTGTCCACCTAGATGTCATGTCCACAATAGAGCTTCTCCACACGAGGAAGGGGCCTCCTCATCCCTTACACACCGACACGCCATTGCTCCACCCAATAACAGAGGGTCGCTGCCCTGAAGGCCACCACACCTACTAGAAGGTCATAAAGACTGCAAACCAAATCACCAAGATACAAGGGCAACACATCCCAACCACTCAAAGCTCTCAAGATCTAATGCCTAAATTAAACCTCACAATGATGTACTATAATGTCTATCCTAGGCCCTAGCATTGGATGTGGTTTTTGAATGACTTGAGAGGGTGGATGGAGTGTAGAAACAATTGCTCTAACTTGTAATAGCCTTATGGCACTCCAGCATGCTCAAGCAAGTGAGGCAACCTCATATATATTATATATAGCCCCATCCACCTTAAAGAGACCTTGGAGAAAGTATGCTAGTTTTTATGTACACAGTCGTATACCGCACCGTATCAACCGGCAAGGTATATTTTGTAGTCAACAATTGAATATTCACTCGCTGACATTGGGCCCTCTTCACCGGCTGATCCACCACCTTGTCATTCGTTGTCCACCATATCATCTGACAAGGTATCAGATATCTCTGAAGTTTGCAAAAGAACTAGGCAAAGAGCACAAAAGAATAAGACCCAAATCCTCCTCATCATAATCTAACTCCATAGCCTGTAGATATAAAATGATCTTCTTGATGACTGAAAGATGGTTAAGCATAGAACCACCCTTTTCGCAACTTGTGTGTATATAACTTCATCTTCATATGTATCTTGTTTGTCAAATCTTTAAGACATGCAAATTGACTCTAACTTGAGCCATAAAGATGTCAGTAGCTTTTCTCCCCGCAAAACATCTTGCAAAAATTATTTGATAGATGAAGCTGGATTTGAGTCAAAGCCTTATTATCTTTTCCCTTCTCCTTCTTGGTCCAAGACTTTGAATCTTTGTTACCGAATTTATCAAGAGCATCATCGACTTCTGACTACGTAAGAATAGCTCGCATCTTGACTTTCCATAAAGCGAACCTTGTGTCGCGATCTAGTGGTGGAAGATCATACTTCATCGACATGATGAAGAAAATAACAGCAATAACCGGAAGAAAAATAATCTGCAAAAAAATTGGTATGCTTCGTGTGCACGAAACAATTAATCTGCAGCCTGGTAGACTCGTGTGTGTACACCTAGCAAAAGATCACTGAAGAACTCTTCTGGTGACTCGTGTGCACTTAGCAGTAAATCTTGAAATCTGATTTTCCCACCACGGAAATACAAGAACAAGTTTGTCACCGCCTTGTTTATTTTTTTGAAACAACACCGCCTTGTTTATCGTGCGCTTCAACTTTGATCTTTTGCTCTTCATTTCCGTGCCACACCAACAATGCTGAATTGACCTCATGGTCAGGAATGCAGCGGCAGCAGTAGGACGCAGCAATAGCACTGATTTGTCTCCACTTCGAAAATGTCCCAGCGCTGACTACTTTTAAGGGGGTGTTCACATTCGATGACTAAAATTTAGAAGGTGTCACGTGAAGGTGTTATATGGGGTGTTTGAATACTAATAAAAAACAAATCACAGAATCTGTCAGTACTCCACGAGATGAATTTATTAAGTCTAATTAATCCATCATTAGCACATGTTTACTGTAGCACTACATTGTCAAATCATGGCCTAATTAGGCTTAAAAGATTCGTCTCACAAATTAGTTGCAAGCTATGAAATTAGTTTCAGGATTAGTCTATATTTAATACTTTATACATATGTCCAAACATCCGATAGGACAGCGACTAAAATTTAGGAGGGAAAATCAAACACCCCCTAAATTAGCAACTCAGAACCAGCGGCGGTTGGATGGCTCATAACATATAATTTGCTAATAAATGACTATTTCATTTGTATATTACACATACCGTGGCCACTCCGTACGTTTGGGCAAAAACTGAACGAGGACAAAACCGTAACAATGCACAGAGAACTCACATAGACGAGGAACCATATAATTTATTAATCTTGTGAGTACAAAGTTATAAAATATAGTAAAGAATCACGGTGGCTTTCTCTTTCTTCCGTCTTCTTGTGTATCAATGCTTCGGACTCGTAGAAAGTTGTGTAGTTTGTTGACTCCCGGGACTTGTTGGGTGAGATTGGTTAATTACATCCGCTAGTTGAGCTTGTGGAACACCTCAGGTTAAGCTATGCTTTATAGTTTCGACATCTCAAAATTCTGTAATGTTTTTGGCAAATATGAGTCTTGTTGCCTTGTTCGCGGCAATTTCATGAAGCCTTGCATTGTTGGTTCCTTTTTAACATATAATAATCTAGTTTTCTAATTTGTGTTGACAGCGTATTTGGCATACCAACCCTGTCCATGACCGTCAACCCTGACACTTTGTGGTTTGGTGAAGTGATTGACGCAGTAGAAACGAAGGCTGGAATTCAGCAGTTATCTTTTCTAGGAGGAAAATTTAAGCGCTTCTTTCTTCAACGACACCGCAGATTAATTCAGTTGGTTCTATTGGGTCCGGATGGCAGCATCAGTACAAAATTGCTTTTTAGGTTCAGCAACCTATACCTCATAGGGTTCGCGAACCGGGATGATCATTGGTTTGTGATGAAGGGAGCCGAGGATCTGATGCCTGGTGCCACGGTACTGCCATTTGGATATAAATATAGCGATCTCCTACAAGCAATCGAAGGGAGCACAACTAAACAAAAACTGGCTAACTTGGCCCTAGGGAAGGCTCCAACATTGGAAGCTGTCAGCACCTTGGGTACTAACGACCCGTCTAATCTCAATCCTAAGGTTCCGTCGTCATTGGGATTGTTCGCTGTAACGGTAGCGGAATCGTTAAGGTTCTTACCGATCCGTGAAAAGATTGGTACAATTTTGGAATCAGGAACTATAGGGTACCTTGATGAAAAGAAATATAACGACTACATCAACAACTGGGCCAAAATCTCGATGTTATTGTTGTGCTCCCTCCATGGCCGCCCACTGGGAGATTTTAGGGGTTATAATGATCTGAAGGATATCCATATCGTGGATGATCAACAAGCAATCAATGTCATCGCCATTCTGCTACGGCCCAGTGGTTACGATCCTGAGGATCCGAAGGCATCTTGTGATGATAGATAAGTGGTGCAACCTAGCCAGGGACTTCTCTGAATGATGTAACTGCAGGAATGCAAATGCTTAGCTGAATAATATAGTGGATCTAAGATGTAATTGAAGTCAATGGTAGCGTACCTCTTTGAAGCTGCAAATAAAAAGAACCACCAATTACATAAATGGATGTAATAACAGTGAATTGTACGTGTCGTTGTTCAACAATATGAATGAAGTATATGTTTTAATGACAATGTTAATGCAGTATTATATATATATATATATATATATATATATATATATATATATATATATATATATATATATATATATATATATATATATATATATATATATATATATATATATATATATAGACAGATAGATATTTAATGACATGACAATGACATTTCATAAAAAAACATGACAATGACATTGCATAGGCGCATGTAACTTCATTGGATGGATGTGATTCTGTTGTGCTACTGCCCTTGTTGACGAGAACAGTAAAAAATCACGCGGATTATTGGCATAGAAGAAAGTCAGGCGTGTTTTCGACGATTGATAGATGGATCTCTTGGATATGATCCTTTTATATAAATTGAGGGTGGTGGTCTCATCACAGTAGGAAATTTATTTCACACGTAACACTTTACAAGTTTACCATGAGATCGGATGAGTTTACAAAGAAAAAACACACAATTGGGGGTTCACACCGCCAAAAACCAGCTTACACTAGTTTCTAGAACCGGCCTAGGCTGATTTTTACTGACCGCTACGGAACCCTTCCAAAACTGGTCCATCCAGGTTTTTTATGAAAGTTTTGCAATTTTACCCAATTTCATCCAAATTTGATGATTTTTGTTGTTTTCTTGTATGCACATGTTTTCCAATCTATCTTCAACTTACCAGTCATATTTTGGTTGTCAACATATCCGTCTACTTTTAAGTAAACCATATGCAAGTTTAATAACACATGACAACCATAGCTGTGATGTCTAGTTCATTGCCTTTTTTTTTCTGTCTAAGGCACGATATATAAATCGCCCGTACTGTTCTAAGGGTGACATGTCTATATATATCGGTTGTCTTTCAAGCAGCTCTAGGCATCCTGCTTGATTTTCTTACAGCGAGCATGCTGTAGCTTGCGTCATTGTATCTTTGGTCAAGCCCCGAAAGACACCTTGGATGGAAGTATCTGGAGTCTTGCTTGCTGCACTCGGCTCCATCTTTATTACTAGGAAGATAGGCGCGCTCCGCTGCGCCCGTTCGTGAAGCATATGCCTATATATATTTGTTTAATTAGCTATCCTTAGGCACTAAGCTTCATAGCATGAGCATAACGCAACAGTGGGCAACTTCAATTTGCATTTTATGAACATAAACCTTGTCTTCTCTCATATATGGCAGGTACTACAACTCTGAATTTCTGAAAACTCAAATATTAAGAGAAGGCCTAAAGGGGGCAATACACTGGGAATGGTTGTTTCCTCATACATTAGTACTTCCATTTGATGTAAAAATGGATCCGTTACAGACTATCTCGATGCAGAAACCTGACATGCCGCTAGCCAGCAAATAAACGGCTGACTAAAATCTGCAAGAAATGTGAGACCTTTTGTCAGATATGTTGAATAGGGGCGTAATAACAAACATAGACACGTAGTAACATAACAAAACGAAGTGAATGGAAAACTTTCACACATCCGGGAAATGATTCCACAATTTAAAGACAGCCACATATGAGTTTATCCAAATCCAAATGGAGACATATGGTTATTAATTACCTTATTAGTTGCATCTTAACAAATACAGGAAGATGCATTAGAAGCATGGATTTGTCATTCCTCTGTAGTTCTAATTTATTACTACCATTTTGCTAGGACACAAAAATATGGGAAAGAATAAAGTTATAACATCTGATCAGCAAAATTTAATGACTACTATCACCTTGTACTTGTACTTGACCCAGACAACACTGACCAAGAAGCAGGGGTGCGCCTTGGTCAAATAGCGTTTAGGATGGAAGGCTTCAGCATCCTGGTTTGATAAAGGTAATTACAGTTGTTTCTCTTGGACTGGCATGTCATACTACGAAATGAGCAATGAAAAAAAAATATTGGACTGCCATGTCATGCTATGAAATGAGCAATGGAAAAAAATAATGGGTAAGGTAAATTAGATGGTTTTCTTTTTTTAATACCTTGTGTCGGTTTGGTAATTGTAGACATGATGCAGTTGCCTAGTGCTTGCCCTGGCAATCTGTATGTTGATATGGCCGCATCCTCAAAAGATCCTGGTGCGGTGATGCCATTTGCATGGAAGGGCAATTCAGTAAAGAAAGAAAAAGGCTTTTCTAAATCTGATCTTTTGTATATTTATATAACATAGTTTCATAGTTAGATAACATGATACAGTAAGTAATGCAGCTGCTTTTTTCCGATGTTTCATAATTAGATAACATTAGTAAGTCGAGCTGTTTTTTTTTCAGGAGAACACGTACATAGTACGATGTTTCGCTGTCACTTCCAGTTTGATGCTGATGAAGCACGCAGGCCAATGGTGTATTATTGCGATTACTAACTGTCTCCAAATAACTGCAGAACAAATTAGCTAACACAGATAGCTTCTTTGAACTAACAATCAAATGCTACGTGCAGAAAGAGAAAAAGGTTTGATGTATCTGAACCTGATGGATGGAACAGATGGAAAATTTGTTCCCATTGTCTTCTAAATCAGCTACATATGAGATTTGATCGACAATTAAGGTTGAGTAAACAGAGACAAAGGTGGAAGCACATTTGTCTGAATCCAATTCTGGTGCTGACATGGGTATGGAAGCTGAAAATGCCAAAGGCAAAAAGAAATCAGCAGTTTCCTTTCTAGGACTGCAAATAAATTTGGTAAACCTAGTCATCCATACTATTTCATTTGGTAAAAAAATATATTGACATTGTTCAGTTGGCATGAGTATACAGAAGGTAAAATAGAAAAAAAAAATATTTTAGAAGCAATTCTAAACAAGAATCATAGTGTGTCTCCTTAGTTATATTAGCATAGTAATTGCCATGTCATACATATTTGGAAGCAAAAAGATAGGGCACAAATAAGCAAAAAGAAAAAATTAAATCAACAAATTGAAAGGTTGAGGAGACTACCTCAAGTCTTGAAGGTTAAGTGAAATTGTTGGCAGAGCCTTATTAGATAATTTGTGGAAAGCTCAGAGCACGGATACGCACTCAATAAGCTGCTTGTGCTGATTTGTACGACTGATTTGTTTGGAGAGAAAATATCGTACTTATGGCTGATAAGCCGGTTTATAAGCCGGCTTATAATGGCAGCCGAACATAGCCTTAACTGCCAATGCGTGAAAGAGGATGTCAGTAGCATTAACTAAAAAAACATGGATACTCAGGTGATGTACCTGGTCCAGAAAGCATACAAATGCATTCAGAAACCTCAATACGCATGTGATAGAAATGTGTGTAGTTGTTTGAGCATTGAGCCATTGACCATATCACAATTGCAAGAAATAGTATAATAAAACAAAAGATGGAAACAAATAGTGTATGATAATCATTTATTCTTGACATAAAGCAATTTGGCAGTTACTCGTAAGACATGGACCATGACTAAAAGGGACAGATAAATTTCCAACTCTCAGCAACCTTGAATTGCTATCATGTGTCAGTAGGAACAATTAACACTCTTGGCTACCTAGGATTTATAACATCTCAGTAGAAATAAAGGTGTGAGCCCTACTTTAACAATTGTAAGTAGTTGATTTAGTAATGACTGGAGGGGTAGCGAGCAGTGGATCCAGTACCATGAGCTTGGCCTAATTAACAGTATAGCAGTGTACATCAGTGTTTTAAAGGCGTCGCCTAGGCGTCCAGGCGTGCTCAGCTCGCCTTGGGAAACAGTGGCGCCTTGTCGCCTAGAAGCGCCGCTTAGGCGTCCCAGGCGCATATAAGCACTCGCTGGACGCCTAGCCGCCTTTAAAACATGGGTGTAGATTAATTCATGAAGGTCTTGTCTTTGGATCAAAGGGTAGGGCTTCAACCTGAAACTATGAAGGTAAATCATAAAAGTGATAATGACACTGAACCCTAATATATCTAATCACCAAACTGAAATTGAAACATGCTAATAGGAATGGATACTGGGGTGAGGACATTTATTGATTTATGATCGCAGACAGCAAGTCACATGGGCAGCAAGCAACAGTCTCAAATCCTTGTGTACCGCAGCAATAATTTGGGGAAGAAGAAAAGCAAAGCAACAATTAAAGAGAAGATAACGCATCAGGGCCTACAGGGACCTCTCCTCAAATGAAAGGCTGGAATGACGTGAGGAGGGCCCTTACCAGCACAGGCTGGAGGCGTCCTAGACGCGAAGATGGCCTTGGTGCTGTCGGGGATCGGGGGATGGACCAGCGTGGTTCTTTCAGCAGCGGCCGGTGGCGCTGAAAACCGCTGCTCCGGAGACACTGAGTAGGGCAAGGACGCAAGGGAAAGGTGAGAGCGAGATAAAGTAGGCCAGCTCGGTGAGGCGGCCATGCGACAGCGGAGCGTGCAGCCGCGCCGTCCCGGTTTGCCACCACGGAGACTGATGCGCATAGAGGCGGCCTTCCCCGACCTCCGCCAGCCAATGGAAGTGGAGGATATGGGGAGGGAAGAGGGGAGAAAGGAGAAATCTCACCGTGCGGCTGTCGCTGGTCATTTCAGTGGGCATGACCGAGGAGGTGATGGCGACGTCTGTGCTGGATCCGACGACGAAGCCCCCATGGAGCCATCGCGCGTGGCGCAGGAGGCAACTGCACCGAAAATGGTCGTCTGACCCACAGCGACACCGGCGAAGCAAAAGCGGCCGCATCGACGATGGTAGACTGATGAGCGTACATCTGGCAAACCGGATCTGGCCACCGAGCGGCAAAGCGCAGTCGAGAAGTCAGAGGTTCTGCGGTGCCTAGGGACCTTGCGGCGCCCCTATCGGCCGTGAGGAAGAAGGGGGCAGGGCTCCCTGCTATG